TCCACCCCCCATAGCACTTGTGGGAGGCCTCATGGGTCACGGAAATCCACTTGAGTGTTAGGAGGAATTGGGGCTGCAGAGAGTAGCCTTCTCAAGGTCATCTATACTAATAAAAGCCTTGGGGGTGATCAAGCCAGCAGGGGAGGGTTGTTGGGGGCAATCAGACCTGCAGAGGAGCAGTTAGGTGTCAATCAGGCTGGCAAGGGAGCAGTTAGGGGCCAATCAGGCAGGCAGGAGAGCAGTTAGGAGTCAGTGGTCCCAGATTGTGAGAGGGATGTCCCATATTGGAGAGGGTGCAGGCTGGGCTGAGGAACACCCTCCCCAGTGCAAGAATTTTGTGCACTGGGCCTCTCGTAAGGTTATAAAAAGGGGTGATAATAAATTGCAAGTTCTGGACTGTTAGAGTTAGAAGGGGCCTTAAAGATTGTCTAGTCCCCCCAAGATGTTATTGCTGCTGTTGCAAACTGAGTCCCACCCAGTGAGGGGAAGATGTTTGCCCTGATGTCCCTGACAACATCCCATGGTTTCTTAGCCCTGGATCCTCATATTGCACCTGATGCTGCAGCCTCTTGATTGCTGAATTGGTTGCAAAGACTTATTAAGTCCTTGGCTCCTCACTGGCGAGGATGCCAGGGTGGACTCCCTGAGGACACACCATAGAAAGTAGGTGTTGTGTCTTTGCTGATAGTCGTCAAGAGGGCACAGCCAGCTCTTTGATGGATGGGCCTGGGACCCCATTTCATGGTCAGGGACAGATTTAGTTAGCTTTAGTTAGCTACCGGAACAAGGCCCAGGTGGATATGGGTGGGGCCTCTCCTTTGCAGAGGATCCCAGTGCAGGAGCAGTATCTGGGGAGGGGAAGGGGGAACAATGGGCAGGCTGGAGAGAAAAGCGATCTTCTGGTTCCAGCCCCGTCCTGACTTTCGGTGACTTTGGTCTTCATGCTCTGGCCCTGACTGGTGGCCTTCAGATCACAAGGGAGAGTCGGAGGGCCCTCGGACCCTAGGCACTGAGCTCCCGCACTGCCCCAGGCGAGGGGTGGGATCTGTGACCCCACATGCTGTCAGCCTGGCGGGCAGGAGAGAGTGAAGCCGCCCCTCATCCAGAGAGCCCCTGGACTCCTGGCAATGGTCTCGGCCTCGGCCTGGCCTCATTGCCCCTGGAGATTCCTGTGCAGCTCCGTCATCCTGGGAATGACCCTCTCTCCAGGAAAGGGTTTAACAACCACCCTGGCCAGGAGGAGAGTTCCTGTCTGTCCAGCAGCATCCTGGAACTGCTGACGACCAGCTGGGCGTGAGGTCAGCAGGACGTGGAAATCCCCCATTTTCCTCTTTGTCTGTCTTTCCTCCAGAAGTCCAGCCCTCCCTTGGGTGGCTCTTCTGACCTCCAGAGAGGGTTTCTCACAGTAGGCCCTTTCGTCTCTTTTCATCCACCCTCTGCCTGTTCTCCCTGCTGATGCTGGAGTTATGTAGCATGGCGCTGCCTGCCCCTTCTTTTGCTTCCCCTGAACCCCCTTCCCTGTCGACCCCCAGTACTGAGGAAGAGCCTGAGCGTTGTGTGGTTTGCAGGATGTGGAGATGGGCTTTCAGTTCCTCTGTCCTGCATCCTGGCGTGCCGCCTGGCCTTACATCTGGGCATCTCTGACAGCACGGCCGTGCCAGCCCTGGCTCTACAAGTATGTGGTTGCTCAGAGTGCTCACGGTCAGTGGATCACGGTCAGGCTCTTGGATGTTTGCACATGGCCTCTCAGGAGTCAGGGGCAGAGGCTCCTCCCATCCTATCTCTTTCTGCTCTGATTGGAGATTTATTGAGACTTTCTTCTGGACCACTCTGAAGATACCCTGGTGGGCAAGATGGACTCGGCCCCGGCTCTCCTGGAGCTTCTAATCTATGGGGCAAGCCAGATGGGAAGCGAAAAGCAGACCCAAATTATCACGCAGTGTCACCTGCCAGTTCCATTCTGGGTGGGTGCGGAGTGGTGAGCAGGAACCAGACTCCTGCCACCCCATATCACCAAAGGCTCTGAGGCCACAAGTTCCGCCTCCCCCTTGGTGAACTTCATTCAGCTGTCGATCATGGCTCACCTTCCGAGTGCCAGACCTGTAAAAACAGGAAATTTTCCATCAGATGCGCAAATGCTTATGGCACTCAGCTATATCCCTCACTGGTCAGTAAGTTTTGCTGGAGCAGCACACAAAGAGAAAGGGGAGCATCAAGGAAGTCCCCCCTCCCTCCCTCACACATCGACCAACATTTCTGAGTACCTTGCTCCGTGCAGGTCATTGCGTTAGTGCTTTACCCACACTGTCTCTTAATTCAGTGAACATTTCAGGGCTTTCTTGTTCTGCTGTGTAGCATTGACCTTTCAACTTGAAAACAAGTCCCCCCCACCCCCCGACCTTCAAGCTGAGTGATGACTTTTGTGGGGGCGGGCAGGCTGCTGTCCTTGGCCTCCGTGGGGCCCAGCAGGGCGAGAAATGTGTATTTGCCTTCTCTGTTTGTCAGGCTTTGGGGGAAGGGTTCTGCTCACCAGAACTTAATTTTTCGTTCTGACCTATGGCAATGTGGACCCTCTGGCCAAAGTCCTTGTTGCTTCTTGTGCTTCAAGGCAGGGAACACTGCCCAGAGGGTTCCTAAGAGCCCCATGTTACCCTACAGTCTGGCTTGAACTCCTCTGGCCAGAGCCTCTGCGGAGCTGCTCAAATGTAGCAGCGGGTAACAGGGCTTTCTTAAGCAGAGCTGGATTTTCATCTCCCCTGTCACCTGCTGGCCATATAATCCTGGCTCACTGAGCCTCCCTTATAACACGAGGATCATTGAGTATGTGCCTTAGGGTCATTTGCAGCATACCTGAGAGTGCACCTGAAGTGTTTAATGCCTGGCATGTAGATGATTCATGGAGGCTGGCTGTTATTATTAGTCCTTTCTCACTCTTCTTTCGGGATCAGTGTGGGGATGGTGATCTCGGGAGGGAGGTTTCAGGGCCCCAAGTCCTTCTGAGGTCCCAGTGGAGGCCTTTGGAACTCCTTTGTGTTGGGAAGCTCTTTGTGGTGCTGGAGGCTGGACCAGTTTTTCAGACTCAGAGCCTTTGCACTCATTGTTCTGTCTGCCTGGAACATTCTTCCCCCCAGATATCTATCTGCTGGCTAGTTCCCTCTCCTCCTCCAGGTGTTTGCTAAAATAACTCTTCCTCTGTGAGGCTTTTCCTGACAGTTCAATTAAAGGCCCTGTCTCGTGCTTCCTGTTTAAATTTTATCCGTAGATATTTTCATCACTTCTAAGACTCTGCCTGTGTATCTGTCTATCATCTGTCTATCTATCTGTCTACCTATCACATCTGCCACTACAATGTAAGCTGCATAAGGGATTTTTGTCGATTTTGTTAGCTGATAATTTCCCAAACTAGTACCTGACAAGGACTAGGTGCTCAATCAGTAAATAATGCTGAGTGAATGAACAAATGCAAGAACAAAGTTTCTCTACTAAGTCAGAGGTTTCATTTGAAATCTCTCTGTGAAGGATTCTGAAATCACTTCACAGAGAGGTTTCAAATGAAAGAAAACAGATGAAATTGGACAGATTAATGTGAAACATTTGTTGGGCAAATAGTTAGTGGTTTGCTGGAAAATTCATCTGTTCATTAGCCCTGGAAGGGACAGATCATACATGATTATAAGACTAAAGGAGGAGAGTGACAGTGTCAACTAGTATATTAAATATTAGTCGGGATTTTTTCTTCTTTCTTTTTAAAAAGGATGTCATACATATAAATGGAACTTGGGATTGGATTGACTGGCTTATCTGTTAGGGCATAAGCATTTCACTATAAGTCCTAATTTAGTGAACAACTTTCATTTCCCCTCTGCAGGGAGAGAAAGGGACTGCCCATGATTTCATAGTGAGTTAATGGTTAGACCACTTATTTACTTAGTGTTTAATGGGCACTCACTTTATAGCTAACTAGGGGCCCAGAGCATGAATTCGTGCACCTTGAAAGGAACCATAGGCCGTGAGTCTGCGGTGGGCACAGGGGCAGGTCTCAGCCCATCCTCTGAGCCCCAGCCTGGCCCCTCCCGCTGTGGCCCTTAGTCCCCTGTGTGCTGGCAGCCCCACTCCTGCCATCGCTACTCCCACTGATGGTACTGGCCCCACTTGCACCCACTGACAGCGTGGAGTGATTGGGGCTGGCGTCAGCAGTGGGTGCGAGCAGCAGCTGTTGCCCTGATCGCTCCTTAGGAGCAGGGGGAGGTGGAGAAGTCCTGAGGGGCAATGAGGGAAGGCGCCCACTGCTGTCACCCATTGATGGCGCTGGCTCCAGACATAGGCAGTGGATACCAGTGCTGGGCAGGACCAAGGTGCACGAGAGCAAAGAATTTTCACTAATTTCCAGAGGCTCGCCCCAATGACAGTGACCTGGCGCCCCACCTTGGTCTGGCGTCCCCGCTCACCTACTCCACCATCCCACGTGGCCCATCACTGCCATGTTCCGCGCGCACCCCATCGTGGTCAGCACATGTCGTAGCGATTGAGTGTTTGGTTGTTCCGCCGTTCGGTCTATTTGCATATTAGCCTTTTATTATATAGGATACTGTGCTGGGTTCTGGGGATGCTGTGATGCAGGGACCCTGGCCTTCTAGACCCCACCAATAGGACATGAACTCAAGTATTTTTACTCCAAGTCTAGTGCTTTTTTATACTTCATCCACATTGTACTTCATAGTTGATTGTTGTTGCAGAGGAACCAGCAGTGAGTACAGGGAGGCTGCTGAAAGAAACTGATGCCATTCTTAGGTTGCTTTAATAGAGGCAAAGCATCCAGATCAAAGGAGGTGCCTGTCTTGCTCTGTTATGCTGTGGCCAGACCAGTCTGAAGTGCTGTGTTCTTTTCTGGGTTATGGGGACTGCCTTCTGGGACACCTCAGTGGCCTGGCCAGCCCCCTGATTTCCTGCTGTTGTCCTTACAGCCAGGCGGGCACCCCAGCAGGGGCTGAGCCACCCTCATGGAAGGGAGAGGACCGTACCGGATCTACGACCCTGGGGGCAGCGTCCCTCCGGGAGAGGCGTCCACAGCTTTTGAGCGCCTAGTGGAGGAGAATTCCCGACTAAAGGAAAAAATGCAAGGGATAAAGATGTTAGGTAAAGCAGACGTTGCACTCTCCCTGCGAGCCGTCTCCCTGTAGTGCCAGCTGGCATATGCCTCCACCCATGTCATCCCTCTGCCCTTCCTAGCCCTGTGTTGGCTCCTGCCCCACAGCTGTGTCTTTATGCGCTTCCATAGTCCTGAGTCCCCCGCACCCAAGAATCACGGTGACAGGACTCAGAATACCTTGAGAGGCTGAGGAAAAGGTGTGGGGCTAGGGAGAGGGAGCTAGAAGGCCCGTTTTCTGGATGTGGAACAGAGTGGCCTTGTTTTCCAGAATGCCAGTGAAGAGGGAGCTGGCATCATCTGGACAACTAGGGCACGGTCCCCAGGTGTTGGAGCAGGGAGCCAAGCTTGGCTTGAAGCGGGCAGGAATAGGTCCCTTGAATTCTCTTTCCTGGCTTTTGCTCAAGCTGTCCCCACTGCCAAGGAGCTCCACTTGCCTTGCATGACTGTCATCCCAACGCATCAGCACCCAGCTCGATGCCACCTCCTCCTCCAGTGATTTCCCTGCAGAGGGGTCTCTCTTCCCTCCACACTCCCACAACTGTTCCTTTGCCTTGCTGCCACCTTCTCTGGTCTCAGGCTTTGGGGGCGAGCTCAGTTCCCCAATTTTCCAAATGCTTTATCCTTGCTTCACAAACCGCTGCTTGGAATGGCAGATTGGGGAACGAGGAGTAGAGTTGCCCCTTCTCCACTTGTGGGACAAGGAAAGCTGAGGCCCAGAGGGTGGTTGGCATTATCAAGGGGCTGGTCCCCTAAGACTGCCCCTGACTATGGATGCAGGCCGGGGGTGCCGCCTGGGTGCCATGATGGTAGCTTTAAGACAGCCCTGGCTTTCTGTGGAGTCCCGGCCAGCTGTGGCGGGATGGGGCCAGGAGTTTGTCTTAGATTCCTCTCCTTCTTCCCTGATTGCAGGCTCTCTTCCTTAGGGCCTGTTTCTAGTTGTGGGCTGGAATGATGATTGTCCCACTCAACCCACAAGGCACTGGTGGCAGTAAAGTTCAGGGCCTGGAGCATCCAAAGCCAGGCCGAAGCAGGCTTAGGGGCACCGGGTAGGGAGAGACCGCGTACAGTGCTGAGTAACACCTTTTGCTCCTCCTTAACCGCTCTTTCCAGGGGAGCTTTTGGAAGAGTCCCAGATGGAAGCATCCAGGCTGCGGCAGAAGGCAGAAGCGCTGGTCCAGGACAGTGAGCTGGTCAAGGACAGGCAGCCGCTCCCACCACCATCTCCCATTTTGACTTCCTTCGATCACCTGCCTGAGCTCACAGGTCCAAGGGCATCAGGTTGTCCTCTGCCTTTCCTTGTACTTCTAGCTCCCCAAACCCTCAACAGCGGACCCCTTCCTGTTTAGAAGTGCACATCTCCTTCACTTACCCTTGGGACACAGGCCATCCTTCCAGTCATGTTTTGGATGGGACTCCGCACTCCTGAGGCCCTCGCAGACATCAGTTATGGGTCACAGCAATCCACTGTACCCAAGATATGGCCTCGAGATCTTTATCAGATAAAGATCAGCATATGATTGAGCAAATATTTAATGAGCAGCTACTATGTACCAGGCCAAGTGCGCCAGGCATCTACTTCAGGTCACTCAAAGTTGGCACATGAGTCAGTAGCTTTCTGGTCTGCCTTCTCCTTCCATTTTAAAGCTAGGGAAGCTGAGGCCCATGGAGAACCTGGCCTTGCCTGTCAGCCTGCTGCAGTGTAGATGTAAGGTTACGTGTGTTACCTATTGCTGGAAAGTGCTGACTGCGACTAAAGGTTAAAGTCCTGCATGTGGTCACCATGCATTCCTCTGGCATGTCTCTGAGTGCGGGGTGGGGCAAAGCTCTCCACCTGTGGAGCTCAGAGGCCTCCTGCTACAGCTACACCTACAGCGCCAGCCCAGCCCAGCGTGCCAGCCTTCCATTTGGCTGACGGTTACATTGGTTGAATGGACACATGAAGGAAAGTGATGGCCTCAGAGTCCATCAGTGGGTGTTTCCAGTCTCCATTTGTCCCTTCAGCAATGTTTGCCGAGTCCTAGATCAGTGTCGGGTCCATCCCCAGTGTGCGATGTGCAGCTATCCTTAAGGGACTCCCTATGCTGGAGCCCCAGAAGGTCGGGGGAGTGGGGAGCTAAGTGTGAGTCCTGGTTTTTCAGTCACTGGCTCCTTGACTTTTCCATGCCCCAGTTTTCTTACCTTTAAGATGGGAATTTGGAGCTGCCATGAGAATTGGCTGAGATAATAAATATAAAAATGCTTTGTTACTTGTTAATCGTCATCCTGCCATTACTGAGGCAGGTCCAGGGTAGCCAAAAGCAGTGGCCAGCAAGTCCAGGGAAGATGGTCTCTCTGCCTAAGTTCTGTCCCCGCCGTCCCAGTGCCCGTCCCTGGGCCTGGGGGAACCGCCTCCCATTTTCCCAGACTCATGGAGGGAACTTGGGAAGTCTTCTGGCCAGGACTGTCCTGGAGAGGGCGATATCTGGGCTTTCTCCTTTTCCCTACTGCTCATCTATGCTTTCTCCGTTCTCCAGGAAAGGATGCAAATGTCCCAGCACCCCCTGCAGACCCTGCACCCTCCAGTGACAAGCCAGAGCCAGTCCAAAAACCTCCATCCAGTGTAAGTTGCGTTTGGAGTCCTGGCTGAAAGCTGCCTGGACTTCGAGGTCTCTTGGGCAGATACAAGGACATGAAGAAAGGGTTGGCATCTAGAAGCCTAGGTTCTGACTCGCTAGGTGATGTTGGACAGGCCAATCTCAATCTCTCGGGGTCTCGGTTTCCCCATCTTTAAATGAAGGTCACAATTAAAACTTACCAGGATGACCATTCTATGCACAAGGAGTTCCTCCCTTATATTATAGTAAGCCGCATAATGTGAAGCATGTATCTATCGACTGCACAGTGCTAGGAAAGCGGGTGGATGTGACATAGAGCTCATTCCCAGAGAGGCTGAGGAGTCGCCTCGAGACATTCTGCTTGGTGTCCTAGGACTGGAAGAGACTCAAAGGATTGTATCGTTTGGCATCTTTATCCTACAGATGAGGTCTGAAGTGAGAATAGCATTTTCCAAGGTCACGCAGACCTCGGGGGAATCAGAGAGAGGGACATGAGGTTTTTTAGGACAGGGCCAAGATTCAGAGCTGGCTTCCTGATGGCCACGAGGCTCAGAGCAGAGACAGAAGCTGCGAGTGGAGATCCTCCCATCCATTCCCATCCATTTGCCCTTGCCAGGGGGAAGGCTGCAGTCGACTTTGCAGACCAGGTTTAACAGCAATCCCAGAGCCAGTTGCTGGTTCAGAGGGACCGTTGGCCTATCTGTTGGTTGCACACCCAGTACATTCCACTTGGGGTGGCTGAGAGATGAGAAAAAGGCTGGGAGTCTTTTTTTTTTTTTTTTTTTTTTTTAAATAGAAATGTCTTTGGAATTTTAATTTTCACGTTATGTAACAGATTCCTGACCCCATTCATAAAGCCTCACAGTACAGACTCAGATTTCACTACTCATAACTGGGAGTCTTTTTTGTTGTTAATCCTCACCTCAGATTGTTTTTCCCGATAATTTTTTTTTTTTTTTTTTTTTTTTTTTAGAGAGAGAGAGAGAGAGTGGATGGGAAGGAGGGAGGAAGAGAGAGAGAGAGAATCAGGATATTGGAGTTTCTGGGGCTGGTTTAGTAAGGCTGGCACAGGAACACAGTTGTCTGTTCTCCAGCCGAAGTCAGAGGACACCTGGACCTGGGAGACAGCTCCGAGGCCATAGTAGGAGCATTGGTTTTGCAGGCCTTGGGTTCAGCCCCTCCTTTCTGTATTAGCTAACAAAGTACCTTCCGTTTCCTCATCTGACCAAAGGGGATATAACACTCTCACCATAATAGAGTTCATGAAAACATTGTAAGTCTCTAGTTGGAGAGATTTTAAAAGTACAAGTTTAAAAAAGAAAAGACCCTAAAGTTCCAGTGGTTCAAGGTCAGCTAGCCCAATATTCCTGTTTTACGGATGAGGAAACTGGTCACAGAGGGCCTGTAAGTTCGAGTCCTTTGTGAAGAGAGGCAGTGGGGGTTGAATGCAGAATCCAAGCTCAGACCTCACGGTGAGCGGGCTGAGGGCAGACTTGTTGGGTTCCTGCCTTATGGCCGCACATGAGCTGATGTGTAACCGTCCAGGGGGCTCAGCTCTGCATGGAGGGGCTGCTGGGATGAACTGGATGTGAGAAGAGATTTTTGTCCCTCCATTCTCTGCCCCTCCCTGCTGCTGTCAGCTGTGGGTTGAGGGTTTTTTTTTTCTCTCAGGCAGCCTATAACTCCCTTTCTGCACAGGGCACTTCCTCTGAATTTGAAGTGGTTCCCGCCGAGGAGCAGAATTCTCCACCAGAGAGCGGCGGCCAAACCAGAAACATGATGGTGAGTGGATGGCAGGTCCCTGGGCACATCCCATGTCCTCTCTCTGTTTCAGTCACCTGGCCCTAGGTCAGAGGCACAGGGTCCCTTGGGCATCCTGGAGTCAATTGGGGACCCATGGGGGGCTGGAGGAAGGGATGCTTCTCGAACATGCAAATCCCTTGTTGGTGACTTCCCCTACTTGGGTCACACAGGCGCCTGATCATTGTGAAAGCCTGGGCACATCACCAGCCCTGCTGGTCTCCATGAATGCCGGGCACCTCCACATACTATGACTCAGCCTCTGGGCAAGTGGGCTCCTACTCGGGGGGAACAGAAAGGGTCAGGGAGACCCAGAGCAGCTTAGGCCGGCAGTTTTCCCTTCTGTGAATGCTGAGAAAGGTTCTGAGTTTTGTCTCCTGGGAACTTCCGTGCCCTTACCCTGCTCTGTCTCGGAGGGCTCTGAGAAGCTGGCGGAGGTAGCAAGAACCCCCTGCTCCGAAAGTATTTGTCCTATGATCTTGGACCAGTCACATTATCTCATTAATAACTTCCTCCTTAGCCCCACCATGTGCCTAGTCTGTGCTGAGTCAAGACAAGATGGCCTCCCTGCCCTCTGGGCGCTGGTAGGCTAGTTTGGGAGATTAGCGGATCAAGCAATTCATGGACCTTAAATAGAGCAGCTTTTGCCACCTCGAGTCCTTTGTGAAGAGAGGCAGTGGGGATGAATGCAGAATCCAAGAAGCCACGTTATCTCCTGTTAGAATGAAGTGCTTGCAGTATTGCATAGGAATTTACTGAGCATCAGGAAGCCTCAGTTCCAGCCCTGGCACTGCCACTGAACCACTGGGCAGCTATGGACAAGTTCCTGTTCACTGTAGCTTAGTTTCTCAGCCTGAACCCTGAGGCTCCCCGTAGCTCTACTGTCCTGCAACATCCATGTTTAGGGGAGGCCTGCTAGAAGAGTGGAAATGTGAGAAGGCCAGGAAGGATGAGCAGAGGGGACCCTGGGAATGGAGCCATAGGATGTGTGGGAGCTCAGCCAGGGGAAGGCGGGGTCTCTGATGCCTGGCTGTAAGGGCCCACTTTGGCATAACTTAGGCACTGTCTTTGGAAGGAATGTTCTAGACACAGGAGAGATGGAGAGAGACAGATTGATTGATTATTGACATTGGACTCTCTTGTCCACGGTATGCTTCCTTTCTTATGGACTCTATTGGATTGGATTCTTTGAAATAGCTAGAGTTAAGATTCTTAACCTGTTTTGAGTCTTGGATCCTCTGAGAAGCTGATGAATGCTTCAGCTATTCCCCAGAAAACACACACTAGACATAAAAGTCAGGCAGCTCTGGTCTCTGCGCGGCTCCCTTAGCAAGACTCCCTAAGCCCGTGGTTGGCAAACTGCAGCTCGCAAGACACATGGGGCTCTTTGGCCCCTTGAGTGTGGCTCAAAATACCACGGCCTGGGCGAGTCTATCTTGAAGAAGTGGCGTTAGAAAAAGTTTAAGTTTAAAAAATTTGGCTCTCAAAAGAAATTTTAATCGATGTACTGTTGTTATTTGGCTCTGTTGACTAATGAGTTTGCCGACCACTGCCCTAAGCCAAAGAAGCAGCACTGTGCATGGAGTGAGACCCCTTTCCCAGGCTTGCCACCTTCACGTGGCAGTTCACCCTCCTGAGCACCCTGTGAGCTGGGAGGGAGGGAAGGGGCGTGTGCACACTTGGTAGATGAGGATTCCGAAGACCAGCAGATGAGAGATCCAACCGCAGGCACTTGGGGAGGCCCAGAGCGTGGGAGGAAAGTGGCTCCACTGCTGGTAAGCCAGCCACTGGCCTGGGAGTCCCGGTCCTGCCCTGTGAGTCAGCCCCAGACAGGGAACCTGCGTAACTGGAGAATTTCCCTGGGCTGAGCTGGGATTAGAGGGGGAAACTGAGTCATGAGGAATGGGGAAGCAGAAGGCGAATGGCTGGCAGAGTCTACTCAGACCCTGAGTAGCACCATTGCTATTTTCTCCATCTGTAATGGCCCTGGTCCCCTTCTCCTCTCCAGGAGCTGGGTCCCCTGCCCCACGAGGACAGCAACCTGATGCTGCACCTGCAGCGCCTGGAGACCACCCTGAGCGTGTGCGCGGAGGAGCCGGACCACAGCCAGCTCTACACCCACCTGGGCCGCATGGCCCTCGAGTTCAACCGGCTGGCCTCCAAGGTGCACAAGAATGAGCAGCGCACCTCCATCCTGCAGGTGAGGCCGGTGGGGAAGGTCACCTGGGGTGGGCAGGTGTGCTTCCCCTCTCTCCTCCTCTGGCTCTTCACGGGAATCCAGGGTATTCTGGGGGCTTCTGAGAATGACGTTGCCCTTGGGGGGCTGACTTTGGGCTTCTTGTTTGAGGTGGTGAGCAGGGTAAGGAAGTTGTGTGAAGGGGTGAGGAAGAGGAAGGAAATTGGGAAATATGGGATGTGCAATGCAGACTTCATGGTTGGGGATGGAGGATGTGGGCAGCTGGGAACAGCCCTACCTTGTTCTTCAGAGACAGACAGGTGGGGAAAGAGAGGACCATCATTATCCCCACTTCACAGGTGGAGACACAGCCCTCGTGAGGTTATTTGTTTGTTTCTTTTTGCCTAAGGTTGCAGCTGGTAGAGGGTGCACTTGGGATTTGAACCTCAACCTGTCATATTCCAAAGCCAATGCCCTCCACCACCATCCCAGCTTATCTCCCCAGGGGAAGAGGCTTCCTTTCATAACCCTCCCTGTGCCGGGGGAATGAAGCCAGATTGGGAATGAAGGCCAGCCCAGCCTTGCCCTATGGTTCTTGGTTCCAGTAAGGACTCTGTTGCTGAATGACCTTGGACAAGTCCCTTATCCTCTCTGTCCCTCACTGTCCCTATCAGTAGCATGGTGCTGGGAGTGCCTGCGTTATGGGATTGCTGTGAGAATTAAATGAAGTCCAGGCTAGGATATTTAAGTGCTCACCATTAGGATTTGATGATGACCAGACTTCCATACTGGGCCAGTGGTGACCAGACTTCCATACTGGGCCTTGAGGGCTTGGGGGTAGGGAAGGATTCACAGATGGCAAAACTGAGGCTCTTAGGGAACCTGCTCAGGACCTGAGCACCTGTCCCCTCAGTGACAGGGCTATAACTTTAAATCCCTGCCTCCCTCCCAGGCCCCGCTCCAGTCAGTGGTCTCATTCATGGCAGCAAAAATTCACTTGCCCAATTAATGGGGGAGAAGTCTACCATGTGTGACCTTAAGAAGGGCCTAGGTTAGGGTGACCCGATGTCTCGCTTTTGGTGGAACAGTCCCGATTTTTAACAATTTGTCCCGCGTCCCGAGGCGTTTTAAAAAAAGTCCTGATTTTTCCCCCCCCAAATCGGGACTTTTTAAAAACACCTTGGGACACAGGACAAATTGTTCAAAAGTGGGACATCTGGTCACCTTAGCCTAGGTTGACAAGAGCAGAAGGGCATCCGGCTGAAGACAGTGTGAGAAGAGATGTGGGGAGCAGAGGACCCCAAGGAGTGTGCAGGACCCCCAGTCCAGCTCCAGGGAGTGCACAAGGGAGGCAAGGTTGGAAGAGTGATTGGAGCCCGAGAGCCAGGCTGAGGGAGATTCTCAGACGTCAGGCGTAGAGGTGTCAAAGCTGAGCTCCCGGGAGGCGAACCCGGTACATCGCACGGGTGACATCATTTTCAGTGTCAACTTTTTGGCTTTGCACTGGGGAGCATCAAAGGGGGTCCTGTCAACCTCTGTTGTTCTTTATATCAGGCCCTTGTTTACTTCCTTCTTAGCTCTTAACATAATTTGTAATAGTTGTATTGCATCAGGTGGTTTATTTGCTTTGTGGCTTCTTTCCTTGTACTTCCTGCTGGAATATAAGCCTCACAAGAGGGGCAGGTATTATACTCTCTCTCTCATAGTCATCAGTGTATCCCAGTGCCTGGCACTGAACAGGTGCTTACTGCACATTAGTGAGCAAATGAATGAATGAGTGAGTGAACTAAGGAACTCAGGTGAGCTCTGTAAGCCCCTTCAGAGGACCGTGACCTTTGTGACGCCTTATCTCCACCAGCTGCTTTGTGCGCAGGGAAATTCCCCAGAAGCTTGGAGGGAACAGCCCTCTAGCCTGGAAAGGTGGACAGCACACCGTGTCCAGCCTTCCCTTAGGAGCAGGACGTTCTGTTCCCTGGAGGCCCCACCCAGAGCTGTGGCATCCTGTGGGTAGAGGCAGATTAATCCGGTTCCTCTTCATTCATTTGTTGATTTGTTTCTTGGTTTACTTGATCACATTTTCAAGGCCAGCTATAATGCAAGGCTTCTAGAAGCTAGGCATTGGAACCAATCACAGTAGTTTTCTGTTCTCTCTGCCTTGAACCTCTGATGTCTGACCACCCCCAGTTCCAGGCTTTGATGCCTTTCCAAGTCTCTCCCGGGAAACAAACAACTCTAAAATCCCTCAGATAACAAAAGTTTTCCCTCATTGCCTGTGGCAGGGACTCTGCTCCAGTTACTTAGCGGCCCCTTCATCTTGTGCCCTTTGGATTATGAGGCAGACTCAGCCACAGGAAGAGAGACCAGAGACTGTACATGGCCAGGCCAGGACGGACCCTTATCACTTCCACTCACCTTTCCCTGGCCAGAAATAGTCACGTGACCACAGCAATAGGGTAGGGAAGGAGTTTGGGGAGAGACCTGATTAGGGCCAGTTTAATCCCCCTGGTGGTTCTTAACAGCTGTGCAACCTCATGCAAATTCATTCACCTGCCTTAGCCTACTTTAAAAATAGGCAGGAATTCTGTCGCTTTGAGGACACTCTGAGGCTCTGATGATGCAGTGAGTGGAAGAGCACCCAGCCGTGCACCTGGCGCTGTTAGGTGCTCACTCAGTATTTGTTAAAGATTGCTTGGTACGCCACAGCACAGCACTGTGGCTGCTCTGCACCTCCCTCCCTTCCCCATCGGTAATGCCCTGAGTCTGGCTGTCTGTCTTATATGCCCTCACCTCGCAGCTCTCTTGGAACACAAGTCGTCAGGTATTATCAGGTGACTGACAGTTCACAGGGTGCTTGCCCTCTCTCGGGCTTGTTTGTCCTCTAAGGAGGCAGAGAAGACGCAGTTGCCAACCTTGTGTCAGGGAGGGAACTGTGGTGCAGAGGCGAATGAAGCCTGAGCCACTCCTGAGGTGTTGGCCGGACACACTGTTGACCACCCTGGAAGCCTCGTCCGCTCCCCCAAATCGACAAAGCTTATAGGGCGCTAGGTCTCAGATCTTCACTTGTTCATTCCTTCGTTTGGCCATGCAGTCATTCAGTCCTTTGTTCCTTCAGCAGAGTTGAGTGTCAGCCTGTGCTAGATCCTGAGCTGGGCTGGGATCTGGACAAGAGACATGGAGAAGAGTCCCAGGCCTTAGGTTGCTCACAGACTAGAGAGGGTGGGCTGGAGTTGGATATTAAGAAAATAAGGGCAAAAATTGCTCTTTAGCTCTCACTGTCACAAGTACTGAGAATGGGGGGCTGTGAGCAAGGATATGGAGGTGACCTAACTCACTGAGATGTAGAAATCAGGGAGGACTTCTCTGAGGAGGTGATGTTTAGGCTAACTTGAAGCAGTAGAATTTGGGAAGGCCTGTGGAGAAGAGTATTCTAGGATGTGGGAACTACAGTGAAGGAGGGAGATGGAGCTCTCTGCCTGGGAGAAGGAAAAGGCCCTTTGGCTGATCCTTGTTTGGGCATCCTCATGGCTGGCTTTATGAGGATGCTTAAAGGAGCTTGGATGGGCCTGGCGGCTTGACTCTCAGCTGTCCTGGGAGGGGTTGTGTCAGGCCATGCCAAGGGGCTAATGTGTGGGACCTGGTAGCCCTGTCCTGTCCTCCAACATCACCGTGGATTAGGAATGCTCCCCTCCCCTCCCCTTGCCCTCATTTACCCCCCTGCTCTTCAGACCCTGTGTGAGCAGCTTCGGAAGGAGAATGAGACCCTGAAGGCCAAACTGGACAAGGGCCTGGAACAACGGGATCAGGCTGCTGAGAGGCTGAGGTGAGTCCAGACTGCAGAGCAGGGATGAGAAGTCAGATGGCCAGTAGGAGGGGGCGGGTGCATGGCACTGATTTCTGGGCTGAGGGCTCAGAGGTCTATGGAGCTCTGAGGCCTGTCCCCAGAGCCTGGCTTTGGGTGTCTTTGGCTCTTCTCCTTGGTTACCTCGGTGGGTATTTATAAAGTGAGAACTTCAGAAGGTCTGTACAAATTGCACGTCTTCCTTGGGAACTTAAGCCTATCTTAGCCTGCTAACAGCTGCTGGCTGGTTGTAGGAGGGCTCAGGGCTGTGCTGCCTCCTGCTGGTCATTGTTCTGTTCTGCTCTGTGTTCCTGAGAACAGCTGGAGCTCCCTCATCAGGGCTAGTGGGTCATGGACTTAATTATGCACCAGGATCACTGAGGGTCAGGCAACGCCCCCAGTCTGAGGCAGGACCTAGACACTTGCCTGTTCCAAAGGGCCGCTGGCATTCTGATGTCAGCTGGTCCAGGATCACACTTGAGAAACACCGATCTTGACTGTCAGAACACGAAGGGCCCTGTGAGGTCACAGGGGCTAAACCTTTACCTCATTGTGCAGAGGGAAACTGAGGCCCAGAGAGAGGCGTGTGACATCATGACAGAGCAATAGTAGTGACTGAGCCACCGTGCCACTTTGAATCTGCATATATTTATTTACGTCCAAGCAGTTGGAGTTTTAGAGCTCTAATGACTCCGTCCATGGATCCAAAAACCCAGGCTGCAGGAAAGACTCCTGACTAGAGAGCATGTGTACAAAGCTGTGTGGCCTTGAGAAAGCCTCTTCTCTGTTTTTCTTTTATTACGTGGAAACCCAGCGGGCAAACAGAACATAAATATTTTCCATATTTCAGTCACACTACTTTTATTATGTCCTGCATCACTTGTTATTTACTTAAGAATTTACTTTAATTTGAATCATGTTTTGACTTAAAAAAAATACTATAAAGCTTTCACTAAAGTAAATGGAAGACAGCATTCCCTCTAATAAGTAAAAGGTAATTTCAACAATAAATGTAGAAGAAATCAGAGGATGTTATTGATTCTAGCTAAGTACCATTGCCCATTGAAGGCTCTGAGCCTGAAGCCTGCTCTCTCTCTCTCTCTCTCTCTCTCTCTCCTTATTTTTCTCTTTCTCTCTCTCTAAATAAATCACTTTTATTGATTTCAGAGAGATATTAAAAAAAAAATCAATGATGATAATCATCAGTCAGCTGCCTCCTGCATGCCCCCTACTGGGGATTGAGCTCACAACTGAGGCATGTGCCCTGACAGGGAATCAAACTGACTTCCTGGTTCATAGGTTGAGGCTATCTTCCTTTTAACAAAGGAGACTGGCAAGTACAGGAAAGGTGCTCAAGACATCACGCTGAGACTTTCCCCTGCTCCACACCAGAAGCTGGAAGATAATTGGGAAGGATCACTGGAGTGTGATCCAGGGTTATTTAATGGAGGTTTGGCTGTTTCCTGAGGTTCCCATGTCTGCAGGCATCCCAGTTGGGGACGCCCTGCAGTGATGACTGGTGACTCCTAGGGAAGCCCACAGATTGCCAGGAGTTTAAGGATGCCCTTTGGTTTCACCAGAGGAAAGGTTTCAGGGCCTTGCTTACACCCCAGGTCTCAGCTGCCACTCAGATGAAAGTAGGTCCTTACCCAGAGCCAGCAAGGTGACTTCTGTGTTTGCCTCCAACCCAGGGAGGAAAACATGGAGCTCAAGAAGTTGTTGATGACCAGCGGAAAAGATGGTGTTTGCGGGCGGCCAGGCTCACCCAAGACGGAAGGCGCAGGCAAGAAGGGGGTAGCTGGACAGCTGCAGGTAGGTGCTCAGAAACCCCTTCCACAGCATCCCCGCCTGCTGGTGCCAGCCTCCGTCCCCACCTCCAGTGGCGGTGAACTCACTGCCTCCTGCTCAGCCAGTTCCGCTGTTCCAAGGTTCTAGTGGTTAGAATGCTTTTTCCTTAGCTTGGCCTGACAGTCCGCCTCACTGGAGCTTCTACCTCTCAGGGCTTATTCAGCCTTCAGCCACACAGAGCATCCATTCCCTGCAGCACACACGCAGGCTGCCAGCCAGGACCGTGGCTCTGTGGCCCCCACCAGCCCTCTCTTCTCCAGGCTGAGTAGCTCCAGTTCCGTTGCTCAGAGACGGTGGTCGAGTCCTTGGCTCAGAGTGAGCACATTCCCTGAACCCATCTTACTCTTTACAGGGTGGCTCCCGAGCATGACATCTCATACATTCCTGGCAGAATCAGGGTGTTAACCTTCTGCAGGCTTCTCAGGGGACTCTGCTGAGCTCCTGTGACTGCCCCCGGGGGCCTCTGATATGGAGAGAGGGGGACATGGCCCGATAGTGCCACCGGGCCGGCCACTTGCTCCCTTCCCACCGCTGCTGCTGTATCCCAGGGTCACATCCAGTCCCCAGGCAGGAACTGACTCCTTGCCCTGTCAGTGCCTTTCCCTTGGCTTCAGGGCTGAGTCCCGGTTTCTTACTAACACGTTTTCCCCTTTAATGGGGCTTAATGGCTGCATAGCAGGACTCAATTGTCTTTAATAAGCCCCACACCTATGTAATTGTCCTAGTAACTTAATTACTTCTTACTATAGAGTTTACCCAAGACTCGAAAATCCAATCCATCATCCTTTTCGGATCTCTTTTTCCCCCTGTAAGGCAGGCAGAGCCAGGACTATTACTCCATTACTCAGCCTTGCCTGGAGGCTGGAAAGCATGACCTTGCAGAGGTCATGGGGCCTTACTAACCAAGCTTCCTGCCCACTCGCTGGCAGGCAGACCCGAGGTGGGGCCGGAAACCACATTGGGAAGTGGTCATCTCTGTTCCCATTTGCCCCTCCCGTCGGGGTCTGCCTTGTTTGTCCTCTTGTGGAAGTGACTTGGGGACTCTCGTGATCTCTGGGTTCTTGGGATTCTGCGGGCAGGCCTCTTCACTTTTCCAAAGCTCTTTAATATCGACTCCCCAGAAGGCGGGACGGTCTTACCACCCTGCCCAGGGGAATGCTCTGTGGGCTTATGGGCAGCAGAGAAGACAGTGCCCTGGAGACCCATGTGGGTTGAATGCTGCTGCCATCTTGGACAAGTTACATACGCTCTCTGGCCTCAGTTTCCTCCCTGCATAATGGAGATATTAGCATTTCTCCCAGAGGGTGGTTGGAGGGTTCGGTGGTGTGCCTGTAGAGTAGGTGCAGTGCTTGGCACGTGGTCAGCAGTGCACATTACCTGTTGCTTTTATTTTTAAAATATATTTTATTGATTTTTCACAGAGAAGAAGGGAGAGGGATAGAGAGATAGAAATATCGATGAGAGTCATCGACAAGCTGCCTCCTGCACACCCCCCACCGGGGATGTGCCCACAACCAATGTACATGCCCTTGACCAGAATTGAACCTGGGATCCTTCAGTTCGCAGCCCAATACTCTATCTACTGAGCCAAACCGGTTTCGGCAGCTATTGCTTTTAATGGTAAATCGGGTGCCAGCAGCCAAGTAGTCTGACTCCTCTCTTCTTTGTGGAGATTAAGAATGTACCCTCTGGGAGCCTGTCACTCTCATTTCCTCCTTCCCCAGTAATGCTAAGCACAGTTGCCCTCCAGGAGGCAGCAGGCTTCTAGGGTCAGGCCCATCTCCTCTTTCTCAGAGGAAGTGGTGGTCCCTGGAGGGCTCCCCCAGCTTTGCTCCCTTTACTCCGGTTCTGTGGTGTGCTTACAGACTTTAGCCTGCAGGGGGCACTTGAGCCTTCCAAGTTCTGCTCTTAGGGCTCACCACAGGCCTTAAAGTCCTATAAAACCAAACTAGAAAATGCACTTGGGCACAGTACTGTTAATTAAACTGCAGACCAGATTCCACCAGTTTCTCTCTCATGTCCTCCTATACCGTGACTGATTCCAGATCCCACATTGTATTTAGTTATCATGACTCTTTAGTCTCCTCCAATCTGTGACAGGTCCCAGGGTTCCTTGTCTTATCTTTCATAAACTTGGCACTTTGGGGTCATACTAGCCATTTATTTTGTAGAATGTCCCTCAATTTGGGTTTGTTGGATGTTTGCCTATGCTTGGATTGGGGTTATGGATTTGGGCAAGAATATCATAGGAGTGACATCACACCTTCCTTACTGCATAATGTCAGGTGTCTTATTGCTCTCAACCTTGATCATGTGGCTAAGTGGGTGTCTGTCAGCTTTCTCTCATAAAGCAATGAATTTTCTCTCTAATTATTAAACACTTATTTCTAGGAGTAACTTGGACGCTGTGCAAATGCGGTTTCTCGAACGCTGCAGTGATTAGGATAGCTGTAGTATTATGATGAACAGTTTTGCATGTCCCTCATTCTTTGGAATTCTTATGTAAGGAAGAGTTGTTCCTTCTCCTCATTTATTTAATTATTCAGCTATATTTTCCTACCACTATGGACTCAAGGATATTCATCTTATTCTTTGGACTATAATCCAATGTTATCACAATTTATTTTCTGGTTCACATTGTTCCAGCTTGGCTAGGGAAAGCTCCTTCAAGTTGTCTCCTATGCCCATTTGATAGGCTATTATTATTATTATTATTATTATTATTATTATTTGGCACTTCTTTACTTTCTGACACCATGAGGTGCTCCAAACCCATTCCCTGCCCCAGTCCTAGAATTAACCCCTTGTCCAAGGAGTCCTGTTCCTTTTTGTTGGAGAATGGTATTTAGGAACCGATCTGGGCCTTAGGTGTGCTCATTGCTCCTGGAGTGTCACTGCTTAGGCTCTCTCAGTGAACAGAGCTAGGAAGTATGTGTATGTATACCAATGACATACACATGTTTATTTTTGTATCTTTCTAAAAACATTTAAAAATATTTTATAAAATATTAAAAAAATATATAACTCTTAACTTCCTGGCCAGAGGATTTAGGGTTGATATGGGGATAGAAAGAGGGAGAGCAGCTGGCAGTGCCTTAGAGGTAGAGCTTGAGCAGGGAAAGACATGGATGTAGGAGGAGAACAGGGGAGGAGGGCTTAGGAGCCCCCAAGGGTCAGGGAGGGGCAATAATGAACTCAGTGGACCTCCCGAGGGGGTTTAGTCATGGTTGGGGTGTGTAGCAGTGTCCTGGTGGATGGGAAGGTAGAGAGGTGGGGACACACGGCTAGGTGAGGGCCCTTAGATCGGTGAGAGGATGCTTATTTAAGGCTTTGTTAAAGGCCCCTCTGTGTTTCTCCCCAGGCTAGTGCAACAGCAAGTAAGACCCCAGAGGCGGGAGCCTTGGGTGCAGCTGAGAAGAAGGTGAAGATGCTGGAGCAGCAGCGCGCAGAAGTAGGTGGCCTCCTGGGACCCACAGGTCAAAGGCCCTCCCTTGTCCCCTGGCTCTGGCTAGTCCTAAGTCGCCATGGTGAGTTGCCATGGTGACCACTGAACCATCTGCCCATAGACTTAATGGACTTTTTCTAAATCTTCACCTGAAGATATGTTTTCATTGATTGGGAGAGAGAGAGGAAGGGAGAGAGAGAGAGAGAAACATCAGTGTGAGAGAAAAACATATACGGTTTACTTCCTGTACATGCCCCAACTGGGGATCAAACCTGCAACCGAGGCATGTGCCCTGACCAGGAATCGAACCAGCAACTTTTTGGTGTATGAGTTGACACTCCAACTAACTTAGCCACCCAGCCAGGGTTGTCCTAGAATCTTGTCTCTTGGTCAATCCCCTTGCCTACAAGGGTCACTCTGAGGAGGCAGCATTTGGGGCACAGCCTAAAATTGTTAGCAGGGCAGGGGTACTTTAGGAAGACTACACCCTAAATGGTGGAAAGAGGTTGTGATAAGGTGGGTGAGTTTCAGCCTCAGGAACGGGGAGCCTGGGGTTCATTGGTCACCTTGCGACTGGTTTAGGGAGGGACTGTCATAGAGGGAGATCCCACGCCTTGTGGCACTGCTTCTAACCAGCTGAGAACCCCCAGATCGAGGCTATTTCCTTGTCTCATGCCTGCTTCCCCTCCATCTCCCACCCCAGGTGGAGCCCAGTCCCCTTTGCTCTCTGAGCCCCTCCTCTTTGCGGAGCTCTGTCCTTCTGGTACTGGGCCTCTCTGCCTCCCTGGCCCCAGCACATTGGGAAGGCAGCCTCCGTTAGTCCTTTGCCTGTGTACATACTAATTTTAGTTTTCTGCTTGTATTGCCCCAAGCCTGAGGTATTTTTTTCTGATTAGCAAAGTAATAGAATGTTCATTATAAAAAGATTGAGAATCTTACCTCCTAGAGCAGTGGTCGGCAAACTCATTAGTCAACCGGGTGACAAACCGACCACTATCCTAGAGTAACATAACAGTTAGTAACAATTCATTACACATTCCTTGTTTTCGTCTGTGTGCTCACTAATCTATAATCTGGTTTTTAAAATAGCAGAAAAAATTGTACATATTGCATCACAAATTTACTTTTTCCTTTAAAATTAACTATAACTTTAAGGATGCCCATAGATATGTACATATGTATATATATGTATATACTGTACATTTCTTTAATATATATGTATATATGTAATATATATTTCATTCTGAGTACTTTTTATGTTTCTGAAATTGGGATACCCTTTCCCATCATTTTATTTGTGATGTAGGATTGTTTTTGGTCCCAGAGGAATTGTTATATCAAGAGTATGGCAAATAAATAGCGTCACGGTAGAACTGAGGCAGCATATTAGGTTTTCTGAACAACTGCATGGCGCTCCGTTTCTGATTACCCTGTAATTTCTGTCACCCATCTTCTATGCCTCGGCTGGCCTCTAGATTGTTTTGTAATACAAACATTGAAATGATCATGATATACATATATTTTTATGCTTCTTTTGGTTACTATTTTTAGAGTAGAATTACTGGGTTAGAGAGAACGAGAACTTAGAGTTTTTATACGTAGTCCCAAACTGCCCTCTAAATGGGTGTGTGTTTCATAATTCTACCCCGACTAACACACTGTTTTTGTGTCTTGGTGTTAGTCTCGCTGTCCTGGCAAGGATAAAATGTGGTGGTTGATAGAGGGACCCTCTTTGAGGAGCACTGAGTTTTACTGAGAAGCGAGAAGTTGAGGCAGTGTCTGTGGCCAGCGTTCGCACATGCTGCGTGCTCCTGGGGAAGCTGGTGTGCGTGGAATTGGCTGTCTGTGGTCCTCTGCTTATCCCCACTAACCCCACTCTCTCCCCACAGCTGCTTGAAGTGAACAAACAGTGGGACCACCATTTCCGGTCTATGAAGCAGCAGTACGAGCAGAAGGTAGTGTGGGAGTTACGTGAAGTCAAGGCTGAGTCCAGGTTCTCGGCTGTTGTCAGCGCACCCCTCCCTCACACGCGCCCCCCCCCCCCCCCCCCGCCATCCTGCTCATCACTGTTGTCGCTTGGGGGGCAGTCATGTTCACGCACCCCCTTCCTCTGCCTCTGACCCAGATCACTGAGCTGCGCCAGAAGCTGGCGGACCTGCAGAAGCAGGTGACTGACCTGGAAGCTGAGCGGGAGCAGAAGCAGCGTGACTTTGACCGCAAGCTTCTCCTGGCCAAGTCCAAGATTGAAATGGAGGAGGCAAGTGTGGCTGCTGGGGGTTTGGCTCCGGGAGGCCTGCTCCTCCCTCCCCCGTGGAGTAAACAAGCCAGGGCAGGAGTCAGGAGACCAGGGGGTTCCGGCTCCCACTCTCGTGCAGAGGGCTGTGTGGCCAAAGGCAAAAGCACTTTCCTTCCCCTTGTCCTAGTTTCCCATTTAAGCATTGAGAAGATTGGATTAGTCAATGCTTTTCATAATTTCTTACTTTCTAACAAAACTTTTTGTTCAATTAGCATCTATGGGCTAGGGAAGCACAGAATAGAAAAGAGAGAAAAGCAGGCCGGCTCTGGGGCACTCGCTGGGGGCGGGTCCTGTTGAGTGTTTGAGTTGTGATGGCTCTTGGTTGGGGACTAGTTTCTCTATTCGTTCAGCTAGTCAACAGACCGTACACTTGGCACTGTGCTGGGCAGAGTCCAGTCCAGCTTTGAGGGGGAAGAGATGCTAAACAACTGATTACAGAAGCAAATAAGCTGAAGTGTGTTAAGTACTACACAGGAGAAGTGACAGGGATCGGGGGAGGGGGCAGGAAGAGGAGCCAGATTCAGTCGGGCCAGGAATCTGACCCCTGAAGAAGCAGCATTTGATCTGTCATCCGTGTGACTGATCCCAGCCAAGGCCCTCAGGTCCTATTACAGCCGAAAGAGGAAAGGCCGCCTGCCCCGCAGGCTTCTGGGAGATTTTATTTATGTCGTGATGCCTTCCCTTTCGTGGGAACGGCCCAGGCTATTACTGTTTAGCTTCTAAATGGACATTTTCAATGAAGTTTGCATTTCAGAGTTCCCTCTCATCAGCATAGGACACCCAGGGTTCTTGTCTGAGCTGTCACCTGCCTCCGTGACCACCTCTGCCCTTGAAGATGAGTATTAGGGAGGACCCTGCCTATCTTTTCTCCTGAGTGCAGGCACATCTTGTGACTGTCAGCCTGTGACCCCTAGCGCTTTGGTCCCTTCCCCTGGCTCACATCCATAGGTGGACAGGTCTCTGGATCTGACAGCACCTCCCTCTCAGCGGGGGGAGGTGGGATGTTTCGAGACAAAGCACAGCTCTGTAGATAAGGACACATGGCGATAGAAGCCGTGCTAATCCTGGAGCCTCTTCAGCAGGAGTCCAGACCAGCTCCCCCCAGTTCTGGCCAAGGCTGCCCTCCGCAATCTCTGGCTGCCTGTCCCTATTTTAAACACTTTCTGTGACTTGCAAGATGAGAGAGAGCACTGGAATTAAGATACCTGGCTCTAGCCCCAAGTATCACTGTGTAGCCTGGGAGAAATCATCTCCCCTCTCTGCACAGTCATTTCCCATCATATAAAGGGGCTAGGACTTGATGCCCTCTAAGGGCCCTGCAGTGAAGGAGCCCTGATTGTTCCCTAGTAGGTGTAAGAGCAGTGCTTCCCCCTGGAAGCCTTCCCTGATTTCTTCTCAGCTGTTGCACGCTCTCTTTTAACCTTTAGGACGGACTGTTTCTCTGTGTAGGAATGCTTTCTGCCTTATGCTACTTTTATTTCTTTGAGTGTTTTCTCTCCTCTAGGTTCAGAGACTAAAAAGCAGAAAGGTCTTTTAGAGATTCTTAGTGGTTTCTCACTTTCTGAGTCACAGAAGAACCCTGTGCAAATCTGGCAGGAACTACGGCTTTTCTCCCTAGAAAAATTGCACAGACAAAATTTTACACTGTTTTGGGGCTCACAGACCTCCTGAGGTCCATGTGTGACTCATGTTAAGAACTCCTTGCCCTGGCCAGTGTGACTCAGTGGTTAGAGCATCAACCTGTGCACCATAGGGTCTTGGGTTCGATTTCTGGTCAAGGGTGAGTATCTGGGTTGCAGGTTTGATCCTCGCCCTCAGTTAGGGCACATGCAGGAGACAAACAATCTCTCACATCAATGTTTCTCTCTTTCTCTCCCCCTCCCTCCCTTTCTACTGTCTAAAAATAAATAGGGGGAAAAACATCCTCAGGTGGGGATTAACAGAAAAACAAAAGAAACTCCTTTCCAATGGTGGATAGGTAAGCTTAGACCAGAGAGGGCTGTGACAGTGTCCCAGGTCTCAGCTGGTAGAGGAGCTGGTGTCAGAACCCAGCACCTTTCACTCTATCGGAGTGCCTCTTCTTTGAGGTCAGGATTTTGGGCATTACTGCTCTGACCCCAGGTTCCTTGTGTGAGCACAGTGAGGGCTGCGGAGTGAGAGCAAGAGAGGAGGCATGCTGGAGAAGCAGGGCATCAGTGCGGGGAGCCCCAGTCTCCTGCAGAGGCTCCAGCTTACCCGCCCTGTATTCCCTTGCAGACCGACAAGGAGCAGCTGTCAGCAGAGGCCAAGGAGCTGCGCCAGAAGGTCAAGTGTCTGCACGATCAGCTGAGCCCACTGACCCGGCAGCGGGATTACCAGGAAAAGGAGATCCAGCGGCTCAACAAGGTGGGCACTTTGGTCCTGGTCCCTCTGGCAAGCACAGCTTCCCTAAGCCCAACTCCCACCGGTGCCCAGTCCTCAGCTCTGGAGGGGCAAGTCTGGATCGGGGCACTGGTGCTGAGGGCCTGGATGCCGCCCAAGGTACCCGCCTCTGCCTTTGCCTCCCCGCACACAGAGGGGCCAGTCCTGGAACGAGCCTGTGCTTGTTCCCCTCCGTACCCTTGGACGTGCTGTTTCCTCACTCATGCCACCCTGCTCATTGTTCAGGTGCAGCGAGGCCTCCCACAAATCTCCTTCCGGTCGCCCTGTTCTACCCACCTAGAGGCCCAGCAACTTCTTTCCCGCCCCTTCTCGAATTTCCTTGTGATTGCTTAACATTCTGTCTTCTCTTGCAGTGGTGGGAGGTGCGCATCTTCACAGGGACAAAGCACATGCCCAGGGAATACTCACTGGCAGGAGTGAGTGAGCACAGGCCTGGGGGTTCCCACCCTTGTGAAGTGGGACCCAGGGAGACAGGGTGCTCGGGTGGGCTAGGGAAAGCAGAAACCCTCTCCTCTGAGTCAGGCGAGTGGCAGTGGCCGGGCCAGGTCTGTATCCTTTCTGGGCCTCCATGTTGCCATCCGAACCATCGGCCCTGCCCACCTTCCAGTGCAGGGTTAGGGGAATGCACTGCCAGTGGGAGCTGGTCTGGACGCCTGTTGATGAGGCTCCAGGATTAGCACGGCTCCTGTCGCCATGTGTCCTTATCGACAGGGCTGTGCTTCCTCTCTGAAGGCCTGGCGTTGCTGAGTCCGTGGCCAGCTTTTCCCTTCTGTTGGCTTTGGTATTTGAAAAGCATTGATTATGATGAGTCTGGGTCCTTGGGACCTGATCTCGGAGAAAAGAAGGACGTGTCCCGACCTGGGGGATTTGGGGTTAAAATCCAGGCAGAATACTGTTCATGGTGCTGGTCATAGGGATGGCCCAGGTAGGATCATGCCCCCCAGGTTTCCTTGGCATAGCTGGGGACAGACACTCAGGTGTGGGTGATTGATGCCAGGCTCTCCCTGCCTCTGGACCTCCATCTTCTCACCCAAAAAAATGGGCAGAGGGAGGAGGAGAAAAAGGGAGCCATAGCCTCCCCTCGCAGCATCCCGAAATCAACTCTTGACTCAGCTTTGTTTCTGGGGGAGTCAAGAAGACCAAGTGGCAGACCCAGTCCAAGTTGGGGGAGGTCTCCTTGACCTCCGTGCTATCCAGGAAGGCGCCTGGGGCAGTGCTGCCACATGGCGGGCGGAGGCCCTGCTGTCCAGGGGGCTGAAGTTGAGGTGGGGATCAGGGTGGCCAGTCGTGAGAGGTGTCCCAAAGTCCTCACCTATCAAGTTAACAGGTTTGAAGGAGAAAACCAATTACTAGAAACCTTTTAAGAGGTGAGCAAGTTGAAATTAATATCCAGTCTAATCTAACTCCAGGAGAGTTGAGGCTGGAAGGGTTGGCTTAGTGGCAATGGCTTGTAGAAGCTGACGGATCTCACAACAGGCCAGACTGAAGATTCTCCTGAAGGACTTAATATTATTCCTTCTATGTCTGGGTGCTAGGCTTGAGCCACACCTGCTCAGGAAAAGGGAAACTCTCCCTTCTTCATGAAGTTTAGGCTGCTGGTTAATAGCACACAGTGGATCTGAATCCCCACTTTGCTACTTGCTGTGTGGCTTTGGACAAATCACTTCAGGTCTCGGAACCTCAGTTTTCACATCTGTAAAATGGGGGTGATATTCTTTTCCTCCTGGGACTGTGGAGAGGATTCAGTGAAATGATGTGTGCATAGTATTAATCATTAGGGCAGCATTTATAGTACTGGTGGCGGTGGTTATTATCATTATTGTCAGAAGGGGGACCCTAAGGATGACCCTGTCAGTGGAACCTGACTTTCGGGGCTTCTGCTGATGGACCCATCTTCTCTCTTGCTGGTCTCAGGCCCTAGAGGAAGCACTGAGCATCCAGGCCTCCCCATCGTCTCCATCAACATCCTTTGGGAGCCCAGAAGGAGCTGGGGGCCTCCTCAGAAAACAGGAGCTGGTCACGCAGAACGAATTGCTGAAACAGCAGGTAAGCCTTGGGGGAGGCCAGTAGGCGGTGGTAGTGGGAGCTGGAGCATCCTGAGACCCAGGATGGGCTTGGCATCACATGGAAGCAGTTATCGGTAGTCCTCTTTCTGCCTTTGGCCAGGACCGAGGCCTGGTTACAGGTTTATCCTTTCCAGCATTGTGTCCCCAACTAGTCATTGCTCTGTGATTTTGCCATCCTTACCCCAACTGTGCTACATCTACCTAATATTTTAAGAATAAATTTTAAATACGTTACTTTCAGTAAATGTAATTAAAAAACTTTATATCACTACTATGAATAGAAAAACCTGTTTGTTATTTTTCCATAAATAAAAAGGTAACCATAAGCAAGCAAAACAGTGTTATTGAACTGGATACTCTTGTCTGATGAAGACTCTGAACTTGAGCCCTCATTCCCTTCACTCAAGGGAAACTAACACATACTAGAAAGACATTAAAGATCTACTAGCACAAAACAGAGACTTTCTCCCCAGGGGGCACAGGAGGCTTGCAAGGAGGTTGGAAAGGTCACGCTGTCCCATGTATTCCCATGTGATTTCATGCAGGTCCCAGCCTCTTCCCTGCCAGGCTTCCGGAAGCCGTGGGAGAGCTCTGTAAGCCTTCTACCCTCGGAGGGTCTTCCATCCACACTCTGGTCCCATAGCCTCTACCCCCCGGGGCCAAAGCAGAATGATAGGATTGGACTGGCTGATGGCTGTCAACCTTTATAAAAAGTCATACATCTGTGTTGAAGCCCAGAATATAAAATAGGGGGATCCACACCTGGCTCAGTGGTTGAGTATTGACCATGAAGCAAGAGGTCACTGTTTGGATTCCTGGTCAGAGCACTTGCTCAGGTTGTGAGCTCAGTCTCCAGTAGGGTCATGCAAGAGGCAGCTGATAGATGATGTTTCTCACTCATTGATTTTCTAGTTCTCTATCCTTCTTCCTTCCTCTCTCTCTAAAAAGCAATAAAAACATATTTAAAAAACAATGTATCTAAGACATAATAAATAAATAAACCAGGGGGATCCAGAACTACTTTGTTTGAAGATGGGGGTGGGGCTGGAGGTGTACCTATTCCCACTCTATGGGGGCTGTCCAGCTGGGGTAACACCAGCTTTGATGACTCTCAGCAGCCAGCCCAAGCTACAGGGCCTCAGCAGGTCTGAGCTTCCACTCAGATATGTACCTCCTTCCTCACCCCTTTCCTCTCTCCCCTCCTCACCCCTGCAGGTGAAGATCTTTGAGGAGGACTTCCAGAGAGAGCGCAGTGATCGAGAGCGTATGAATGAGGAAAAGGAAGAGCTGAAGAAGCAGGTAGAGAAACTGCAGGCCCAGGTCACCCTGTCAAACGCCCAGGTGAGAAGAGCTGGCCCGAGGAAGGGGCCGTGGGCCTGCCCTCATGGGGACGGGGGCATGGATTGCAGGGTCCCTGTGAGCCTGGATGTCAGGACACTCACTGCTTCTCCTTCCAGCACTGCTATAAGCTCCTGTGAATTTCCGGGAGACATGCCACCCCATCCCTAACCTCTGGCTCTGACTTTCCACAGTCAGTTTTGATGCCTTTAATAAAACAAATTCGGGGATTGGCCCAGAGCCCCCCATTGTCCCGAAGAATGCACCTGAAAAATGTTAATATGGAAGCAGAAACAGTGAGCACACCGGAAGCCTGCTGACTGGTGGTCAGACCTCCCGCAGTGAGCAGGCCTTACCTGTAGCCACCGGCCTGAACTGTGCTCTGCCCCACAGGGGCCTTCCCCAGGGCTGGGCCAGGCAGGACAGCCCAGGCTGCATCAGCCCATCAACCCTGGGGCTGCTTAAGCCTGGGTCCAAGCTTGGCCAGGAAGCCCTTGAGCTAACAATCTTCTCTCCCTCCTTTCTTCTCTCAGCTAAAAGCATTCAAAGATGAAGAGAAGGCGAAAGAAGCCCTCAAACAGCAGAAGAGGAAAGCAAAGGTGAGGGGGCTCAAGGAGGAAGCAGCATTTACTGCACTGACCTCCTCAGAGAGCTACAGTCTGCTGGGAGAGGCAGTGTTTGCTCAGGGGCCCAGCTAACGAATGAGTAATGCAGTAGAGCTCTTAGAACAGTACTTGGGACGGAGTAAGTACTCAGGTCACATTAGCTGTCATCGTTGTTGCTATACTATGCTATGTGCCAGCCTTCTGTGCCCATGTGCCAGCCTTCAGAGAACTAACATTCTAGAAGATGAGAGAGGAGATGGTGTTACTGGGGATGGCCCTGCAGCCTGTCACGGGCCAGAGCCAGACACCAGCCTTTCTTGCAGGCCTCGGCAGAGCGCTACCACGCAGAGCCCCACCCGGAGCACCTCTGCGGGGCCTACCCCTATGCCTATCCGCCCATGCCAGCCATGATGCCACATCACGGCTATGAGGATTGGTCCCAGATCCGCTACCCCCCGCCCCCCATGGCTATGGAGCACCCACCCCCACACCCCAACTCCCGCCTCTACCATATGGTAAGTCTGTGTCCCTCCTTCACCCCAGGACCCACACAGGGCCACCCCAGACACTTTCCAGAGGACAAAATCAAGTGGGGGCATCAGAAACTCCACTCTTGGCTCCTTCCTAACCGCACTGTGCGGATGTCCAGGGCCTGGCTCTAGCCTGCTATCCCAGGGGCAGGACTCCAGCCCAGAGCCACTGATGTAGGACAGAAAAGGCAGAGAAAGAGGGCTGAGTAGCAAGGAGGACTCCCTCCAATCAACCAGGCCAGGGTATCAGAGTGTGGGTTTGGTTTTGTCTTCTGACTTCCACATGTGGTCAGGCACCACAGATCCTCACCATGCATTCTCCCCTCCCCTTTTTCTCCTTCTCTTTTTTCAGTTTTCTTCTCTCTCCTCCTCTCTCTCTCTCTCTCTGCTTTCTTCTCTTTTCCTTGCTTATCATTGTTACTCCAAAGAGCTGCCGTCACCTTCCCATCCTCTCCAGTCCCTCTGCCACAACCCCCTCAGGCATCCCCACTCTCACCTGGACAGCAGCCTCCTATCTGGGCTCTCTCTCAGCTTCTCTCCCTATGACCATTCTCTCTCCCTGTGACCATTCTTTACTAAAGTATAACGTGGGGCTTAAGAGGTTGACTCTGGGCTTATAGAGATCTGGATTCTAATAAAAGTTACTTAACCCCACTGAGCCTCAGTTTCCTTATCTATAAAATGGGGATGGCAACCTGGATTGTTGGAAGAATTCCAGTCGACTCTCCATATCCACTGATTGAAAATATCCGGAAAAAAACATTACATTGTTGCTGACATATACCATGTAGTTAGGCTAACAATGGTTGATTGTACCGAATAAGACCTTTTTAAAAATCATTCCCTAAACAATACAGCATAACAACTATTTACCTGACATTCGTGTTATATTATGTACTGTAAGTAATCCAGACATGATTTAAAGTATATGAGAGGATGCGTGTAGGTTACATATGAATACGACAACGTTTCATTCAAGTGACTTGAGTATCCTTGGATTTTGGTATCCCTGGGGTGGGGGGTGATCCTGGAACCAATCCCCTGAGGTACTGAGAGAGAACTGTACACTTGATTACTTTGTATCTAGTATTGTTAGTGCTGCTATTGTAATTTTCACGTGTGGTTGTTGGTTACTAAGCATCAGTTTTGTTGCAGCCAGAATACACCTGGCGGCCGCCCTATGGAGGGATGCGCAATCAGACCTCCCAAGTGATGGACTCGCCTGCAGCGAGGCCTGCAGAGCCAGGTAAGTGTGATCCCCTCGTACGGAGGGCTTGGGAAGGGTCTCAGCTGTGCAGAAACAGGGGCCTCTGATGGGAGATAGTGAGCCCCCTCACGAAGGTGTGCGAGCCGAGGCTGTAGGCAGCTTGGAGGGAGTGAGGCTGGAGGAGCTAGTGGTTGGGAGGAGGGACTGGGCTGCTCAGTCATTTTCTCATGTTCCCCAGAGGCAGCCAAATGGCCAGGGCTGCCCCTTCTTCCGGAACTGCCACACTTCTGGGATCGAGGGAGACTGACTAGGCTCCAGTACTTCCTAGACCCAGGACTTTGGGCAGGTTTTTAAAATCTCTGTGAGTCCCAGCTCCCTTCCCCATAAAGAGATAGTCGTCTGCCTGCTTCATAGGGTTGAACTGCACATACTGAAAGATGAATGTATCTGAGGTGCTTGGCCCAGGGCCTGGCGCTCGGCAACACTCAATACTGTTACTTTCACTGTTACTGTATTGGCTTCACAGGACTTTGAAACCTCCTGTACCACCTCATCTTTAAGTCCTCAACATTTCTGTTTGTTTAGACTCTGCAAAAAATGACCACAAGGGGCCTCAGTGAGACCAGATTTCTTCACTTGGCTCCACCTTCGTCCTGCACAGCCAGCTGACCTCAGATTTCTGAAAAGCTAGAGGCCACGTGCTCCGTGTGGCCAGAGTCTGAGCCAGACAGGAAGCTGAGAGGGGCCACCCGCCCGTGCCCTGGCCCCAACCTGAACTGTTTGCAGATTGGGGAGGCTCTACCCAGAAGGCTTCTGTCTGCGCCCTTCCTTTGGCGCCACTGGAAAAAACTCACCGTCCTGCCACGGTGTGGAGAGAGGACCTGCCGTTATTGTGGAATCTGCCGGGGCGCGGCTGGGACCCCTTTCTTTCAGAACTCGCCCTGAAGTGGTTCCAGCCGCTCTGGGGACCTTGTTCCATTCATGTGTGTGTTTGATTTTGCTTCAAGCTCTGTAGTAGCAGGACCTAGACCAGCCCACCCTTCCCCCTCTGTGAGGAGCTGTGGGAAGACGTTTGCCTCTGGGAGCCGAAGAGAGCGAGGGATGTTCTGCTGCAGGGTCTCCACCTCCGCCCAAGCAGCCTTGCTCGCGCCACTGCAGCCGGGATGAAGGCCATGCCAGTTACATAGGCCGAGGGGCCCAAGCCCGAAGCCGCCAGGCCCTCGGCCCCGCTGCTGGAGGCCTGCGGTGCTGGAGGCCCGGACTGGGGCGACTGTTCGTCCTGGGCAGCTCTTTGCACGAATCTTGGACATAAATCCAAGTGGAAGTAACTGGTGTTTTTATGTCGCGGCTAATGTTCCATCCCCGTCAGTCAGAATGCTGCTTCCCTGGTCCCTGTCCTCTGGGCCCCAGCCCCCAGTCTCCCGGGAGCATCACTGTCACTCTTGTCTGATGACCTGGGGTCCTGCTCAGAGCCTCCGTGAGAGCAGGGCATCCAGGAGCAGTGGGAGGAGCCTGGGCTGGGAGTCAGGTGACCTGGTCTACATTCCAGGAAACCTTGGGCAAGGCCTGGGTCTTCTGGGAGCCTCCTTTTCCTCTTTTGTCTATTGGAACACCTCACCTCAGCCTTTGGAGAATTATGGGAGGGAATGATCATAAACTCCAAATGCTGAATGAGAGAAGCAGAGTGGGCCTTGGTAGAAACCAAAAAGCAAGGGCCCGAAGCACTCCATGTCTTTTCTCTTTCTCATACCCTCCCTCTTCCCACCTCCCCTGTCCACTGGAGCGGCCCCATGGAGTAAGCACCACAGTAGGCTCAGCTGCTGCAGAAAGACTTTTACTGGGCAGATGGGGGTGAGTCTTTGCCAATGGGCCAGGGTGATGGGTGAGAGCACATCCTCCGAAGTAGCAGGGGTGGCATCCCTGCCTGGGGGTCTCAGCCTGAATGCACTAAAGGCTGGCCCTTCAGACAGGCTCAGGGGAGGTCCGCCCACTACGGCTTCGGGCCCCTCCTTCATAGAGACACCACTCCTGACACGGGGAATGTGGCCCTTACTCTCACGTCTGCCTTGGCTGCTCAGGGGGCACAGTGGGGTGGGGAGAGGGGCTTGGGAGGGCCCTTCAGGAAGGAGAGAGACCGTACGGAGGAGAGGAGGGAGGATGGACAGTGTGGCAGACCCAGAAGTTCTGGGCACTGCCGTGGTGGTACTTGGAGGCGGGGGGAGATGCTGGCCCCAAAGCTGAGGTCCAGGAGGAGCAGAATAATTGCGTCTAGAGCTGGTTTCTTCTTTGGGCTCGGCTCAAAGTGAATCGTTATCACTGGGGCAGAGAACTGGAGAGAAAGGGTGTTATTCTCTAGCATTCTCCACACACACAGCTGTGGGCATCTACTGGATATTCATTCACATTCCTGGATATTCGTTCAGGTAAACACATGGTGGCTGCACACTCATGTGCATTCACACATGACCTCACACACGTGGGCATGTGGGCAAACACCCACGTGCACAGCAGTACAGACACACTATGCACACTGGGGCCTTGTAGAGTAGGAAGGGTCAGGTAGGAGGGAGTGGTGTGGCTGGAGGTACGGATTCCTTCCTGAAGAGAGTCCCTCCCCGGCCCCCCGTGGTGGACGTGGGGTGGGGCAGGCCTGTTACTTCCCCCTGACCCCCAGGGCTGCCTTCTGCCTCATGTAGGCCATGATGTCCATCTTGACGTTGCTGACCGTGGTCCGGTGGTACCAGCGCATGATGGGTTTACCGTCCGGCCCCACCAGGAACTTCTCAAAGTTCCAGCGGATGTCATGGACCTTCATGGGTTCCCAGAAAAGGCGGCTAGGCGAGCCCAGGAGCTCCGTGGTGGGAGGGCAGGAGTTCTGGAACAGGGATGAAGAATGTTAACTCTGCTCGGGGCCCTTCCCACCTCCTAGGGGCTGGGGGTGCGAGAACGGCCTGCCGCTGAAGAAGAAGCACCAGTTTGGGAGACTCTAGTGGTTTGTGAGACCCTTAACTTGTCCCTTCTGGGGCCCTGCCTGGGCCTTATTGTAAAATGGGCTGATGAGATCTAGGGTGTGCAAAGCCCTTAGTGGAACGAGAGCTGGATGCCCAGAAATTCCCCCAGAGCAAGGCAGGGCAGGGCAGTGCAGCATGGCCTGTCTCTGTAGGGGCTGGAGCTCAGCAGCCCCGCCCAGAGCCAGCATCGCTGGGCAGAGCCACTCCGCAGAGGTGGCTGCTCACTCACCTTCAGGAACGTGTAGACCTTCTGTTCTTTCTCCCCGTTCACATCTCCTTTCTCAAAGAGTTGGAAATTGGGGACGAAGCCCCCGCCCGGTCGTACGTGCCTATAAGAAATATTCTTAGCTGGGTCTCAAGGAGATGGATGGGCACAAGGCTCAGAAATGAGAGGAGGGGACAGAACAGGGCAGGGAGTGCTGGGAACCTGGGTTTTATTCCCTAGTGGGCAGTGGGAGCCAATGAGTATTGACTGGGCAAAGGCATATTGTGGGTCTGCAGTCTTCTCTTTCCATTCCAGTATCTTCTCAGTAACCCCTGCCAGTAACTCCTGCCCCTGACATGTACCCTCCCACCTGCCATGTACTCACAACCAGTCCTCCCTGTCCCTGTTCCTCCCCTGTCCCTTCTTCCCCTCATTCCATTAAGTGGGATTCCTGGAGAGGGAAAGGAGCTCTTCCAGGCTGATAAATGTCCATCATGAGTGGGAGCCAGTGCAAGAGACGCCCGGCACCGGGGCTGGGGCGCAGCAGGCCATGCTGGAGGAACTTTCTGGACGCTGCGTGAGCACTCACTTGAGGATGGGTAGGATCTCCGAGTTGACTCCTGGCTCCTGTTTTCCAAATTGGTTGCAGGGGAAGCCCAGAATAACCAGGCCAAAGGGTTCCAGCTCCTCCTGTAGTGCATTCAGTTCTGGGCCAGGGAGAGAGAGCAGAGACCAGGTAGCCTGGTGAGGCGCCCTGCCTCATCGCACCACCACCCGCTTGCCCATGGTACAGCTGAAATCACGGAGGCCTGGCAGTGGGGCTTGCCCAGGATTGCTCGGTGAATGTGTCAGTGCTGGGCATCAAGTCCCATCCTCCTGACTCAGCTGGGTGGGTTGCTGGTTTGGGGGGAAGCATGTAACACCCTTTCTCAAATCTGTACTCAGTCACTGGCCCACTGCCAAGTTCTTTCAGGATTGAGTCTCCTGGAACAAGACCACCATCCCTGAGGGAAGGCAGTGGACTTCCCTGGGGTGAGGTGAGGCCCTCACACCCCTCCTATACTCTGGGAAGCAGGGATCCAAGGGAGGCCCTGGCCCAGCTCCCTCTGCCCCTGGCCTGTACGATGCCATGCCCAACCTACTCCTGCAAAATGCACGGTTCTATTCCGAGGCCTGACAGAAGCATTCTAAACAGAGCATCCCTGCCCGCTTTGAAGCCCAGTCGCCATCACTGCACTTGCAGGAATTTCCCATAATTGCCAGGCAGGACATTCAGACTGCCCTGCTTCCTCCCAGCCCCTCCCAGCCAGCTGTGCTCACCCCAGAGCATCTTCCTGCCGGTGCTGTCAGTCCTGTACCTGCAGGGTTGCCCAGCTAAAGGAACGCTAGAGTTCCCAGAATGTGGGTGAAACGCCTCGAGCCACTGCCTGCCTTCCAGGTAGGGGCCAGGAGAAGTACTAAGGGCGATGGGCTGAGGCAGATGGGAAATTCTCAGCAAGTCCACACTACCATTCCTCTGACCAGGGAAAGGACACCTCAGGCACCAACACAATCTCCTCCATCCCTCTGCTTTTAGGGTGGCTGTGCTCAGGGAAGAAGGATTGCAGGGAGTCTTCTAGAACATGTCCAAGGCAAGCAGATCTCAGATTTAGGTAGTCATCTTCACAAGACCATGGCACAGAGAACTGGATGCACAGTTTGGAATCTCTTGATCACTGTCCCCCTCTCCCAGCTGGCAGAAACGGCCCCGAATAAATAGCAGAGGGCTCTTACCAACGTACTGGCTGGTCAGGCCTCAGAAGCTGGCCACGTTGACAAAGAGGACGTATTTGCCGGCATACTGCTTGAAGGGGATGTACTCCTCCCCGTTGAGGGTGAGGGCTCCATACTCGAAGATGGTGCCGCTCACACCAGCATGGCAGTCCGTCTGCAACGAGACCAGCGCCATGGCGTGGTTAGCGCTGGAAGGAAACTTGGGCATCCCCACTTTCAAGACCATGAAAGACCCCAAGATCACTCCAGGCTTTGGAACTAGACTAGCACCAAGGCCTCCCAATTCCTTGCACAAGGAAATGATTGTGGAAGCACTTAGTAGGCTGGTGAGTGCCATGGAAACCAGGAGGTAGCTTACTGTCATCATTACTGCACAGCACAGGTGGATTGGTAAAGATTTACCAGCCCTGAGGGACACCATGCTGATACCGGCGGACTCGTTACTGGGTGGGCTGATGGAGACCGGGTTGGCGGCTGGTGCAAGAATCCAGGCAAGTAATGATGAGGCTGAAGTAAACCATTGTAAAGGCAGAACCGAGCAGGAAGGAAGAAGGGGCAGGCTGGAGAGAAGTGATTCAGAGGTACCAGACCTGGGGGATTGGACAGCTGAGAATGTGGTTGTAGAATAGGGACCCAGGAGGAGGATGAAGGGTAAAGAGCAGTGCCTCCTGTATATCAGATGTCCCTAGGAGTGAGCCGTTGTGACAACAAGCCTTGTGCCTTCCTCTCTGCCCAACCTCTTTCAACCTCCAGGACAAGTAGGAACAGGGTGCAATGGACTACAAGTCGGGGGACCCGGATTCCACGTCTAGCTCTGCCACTAACTCACTGTGTGGTCCTGGACTGGCCCTTTCTCTGCTCTGGACCTCAGCTTCCTGGTTTATAAAATGAGAATCTTGAACTGGATCAGCTGTTCTCAACCATGATGATGCACAGCATGCTGTTAGTGGAATGCTGCTAACAAGTACGAGGTTGCATTCGCTCCACTGCTCCTCCCTCAGCTCTGCCCCAGATTACAAAAATCTGGGTCTGTTCTTGGAAGGAAGTCATGGCATCAGTAACACAACCACCAGGTGCGCTGGTGGTGATGGGAAAGAAGAGAGCTTGCCGCTATTGTGTCAGGTCATCTCTGTGGTGCTCTCTGGCCCGGACTGCCAAGGAGAAGTGGAAAGACAAGCAAAGTAGCGTTATAGACCCGGGCAGACAGTCACAGGTGAATGGAGTTAGAGAAGCAAGTCCACACCCTCTCTTCCCATCAGTCCTGGAAGACTTGCTGTTGAGGTGAGGAACCTGGGCCCAAGGGGGTGAAGAGAGCCCTCTGGGCTGGCAGGGCGTGGCTCCCGGAGGGTGAAGGAAAGCCACCCCTGTCTTGAAGAGGCCACACATCTGCTGAGCAGGTAAGGCTGGGTCCCGCCATTCCCTGGCAGCCACAAGCTGTCTTGGCTTCGGTGCAAATTCCCTGCTTTACATGAGTCTCATAGTAAACATTAAACCTACCCAGAAAACATCTCTCTGGGGCAGTCACTATGCCCATGACTGGTTGGTTGCTGATGGCAGGCCTTAGACCTAAGCTCAGTATTTCTCCAGCCGCTGGGCCTTCATGGCCCCATCTGGGTCAGTTCCACCTCAAAATACAAACAACTGAGGACACAGCAAACACACCCCAGAGTGCATGAGGTCTAGCACAGTGGTTGGCATACCGCGGCTCGAGAGCCACATGCGGCTCTTTGGCCCCTTGAGTGTGGCTCTTCCACGAAATGCCATGGCCTGGGCGAGGCTATTTTGAAGAAGTGGCGTTAGAAGAAGTTTAAGTTTAAAAAATGTGGCTCTCAAAAGAAATTTCAATCGTTGTCCTGTTGATATTTGACTCTGTTGACTAATGGGTTTGCCGACCACTGGTTTAGCAGCCAGGAGGCAAGATCTCCCAGCATGCCTCTCCACTCTGCCCTGATCCGAAGCCAAACTCTGGGGCGTGGAGAGAACAAAAGCCAAAAGATTGTCCAAATAATGCAAGCCTGTAAACAACAGGAGGATCCACTTCTGGGCAGTTTCCGGGAGGGGGTGGGGCAAGGGGAATCTCCTCTCCTCAGGTTTCAGTCTTTTCGGGCTCACTCCCTGAGCCTCCCCAAATGGCTGTGAGAATCTGATGGCAGGTCAAAAAGTTGTGAAAGCCTCTCTTGGAAAGAAACACCCACATCTAGGGCTAGTGATGATTCTGCCTGCAGCCAGGGCAGAGGGCCCCGCTGTTCCCACATTATTGTGAAGCGTCCTTTGATGTTCCCCAACCACTGTGAAGGGGATGACTGGCAGGAGGAAGGACCAGTGACAGAGCTTCCTCGCTTTCTGCTGGGGCCAGTGAGGTCAGCGCTCAGGGTTCAGACCAGTGCGGCTCAGAGTGGCCAGGGTGGGGAAGCCATGGCTTGCACTCACCACTGGGCACTACAACCCAGTTCTTACATAAGCCTCCTTACCCCCTCTGAGCCTAAGGAATCCCAGAGCCCTCACCTTACACAGGGGAGGCCAGAGAAGACTGAGGGAGGGGCAGTGAGGATGCCTCAGTCTTCCCAGCTGGACAAGACAGGAGAGTTCTGATGGCTTGAGAGGGGGAGGTGCATAGGGCTGGCTGCACTGGCATCTTTCTCCTCTCCTATCTTACCACTCCCATCCATGGGATGCTGTGAAGGGAGAACTGGACTGAGGGCAGGAGACCTGAGCTCTGGGCCTGGCCGTGCCTCTGACTCTGTAACTACTGCTCTCCCCGCTCCTTATTGTGAGATAGGGTCAGATTCAGGGCTGTTATAAGGGCCCTTCAGCTCCATCCGCCTGTGGTTCCATGATTCTCTCTGCCTGATTTAGTCACCTAGAAACCAGCGGTTACTAGGATCCTGTGCACGTCAGCAGCTGTTTCTCTCTACAGCTTCTGCACAGTCCTTCTGCAGAGCAAGGACAGGAGTCTGGGCAGCCCTGGGCTGGACTGGAGAGGGGACACAGCAAGGAAAGGAGGATTCCCTTTGTTCTCTAGCCCCTCCCTTTGAGTGGGAGGAGAAAACATCTCTCTGGGGCAGTCACCTTTGGACCAGCCCATTCTCCACATGCCCCCTTGCCTGACCTCTTGGCCCTGGGGTGAGGGTAATGTAAACGTTTGAGCCCTGGAACCAGGATGATGACATCGCAACTATCTGCTGACCAGGGAAGAAAGATGGCCATGCCCAAACTGTTATTAGCCAGCAAATCCTAGCTGGAAGCAGCTGATAGGATCAGACCTACCCTAAGACTTTTCTTGGCCATACCCATCCTGTTCTCTCAAGTCCATTCCTCCCCAGAGTTCTACAGAGAACAGACAGCTATGATGAAGGAACCCTGTGCTTGGAATGGGCAGGAAACCCTCCAGAGAACAGCGTGTGGATTCTGCAGCTTCTCCAAGTATCACCCCTTCTGAAATCATCAGCTTCACTTTGCCATTGCTATCCCCACCCCACCCAACCCCACCCACCCCACCCTCACCTCCTGCAGATGGAGGAGCAGGTCCTAAGAAGTAGGGACCTAGTCAGGGACCTGGGAGTTGTGCCCTGCCAGGCCAGAGCTGCTTCTGTCACAGATCTCTGCCTCTTCTACCAATGCCCCGAATCCACGTGCCTCTCTACCTGCGTGCGTTTATTCTTGGACTAGAGGAGCCCCCAAGGCAATTCTTCAAATCAGGGGACCGCCCAGCTGCAATTCTCCCCTCTTCCTCCTGGCCTGTCGGTCTCCCTGGGAACCTCCACGGCCAACCAGTTGCCAATTCTCTAGGCCTTTCTGTGGGCACACCCCCTTCAGGCCTGTCTGGAGGGGAGCAGCTAGCTAGGGGCCAGAGGTGGCATGGATGAAGCAAGGCCATGGAGAAAACTCGGGAACTTGGGGAGAGGGACTTCCCTCCCCTATTCCCTGCACACTAGGCGCACTCAGGCTTTTAACAACAGAACCGGGAGGAGAGGAGACGGAGGGGTCTGGGTGTGGGGGTCCCGGCGCAGGAGAGGGAAGCACCCGGAGTTAGAGGGACTCTCCCCTAGGTGACGCCCTTCCGGAGGGGAGCCCAGGGAGACGGGTGCCTCGCCGCCACCGCGAGATGGACACCTGGGGGCTATGTGCCACCCCGGAGGCTCACTCACTCACCTTCGAATTCTCCTGCCCCCGGCTGGGCACGAGGCCGGCCAGGAGCAGGGAGAAGAGGCAGGATGCCCGGAGCAGCCGGGCCATGGCGCGCGCAGGCGGAGGGTGCGTCTGGGACTGGCCGGAGACGCCGATCCCGGGCCACCTCCCGTCTGAGGTGGCCAGTGCGCTCAGCCACCTTTCAAGCCCTCCGCGGTGACCAATCCGAGGCCGGCCCCGGGTCCCCACAGCCAATCGCGGGGCGGCTGGCAGTTCAGGGGCGGGCACGACTGCCCCGCGTCTCTCCCCCTCCCCAAGGCTCGGGGCGACAGTGACGTAAGCAAGTCTGGACCGAGAGGTGGGAGCCAGGTCCTTGTGACCCTGAGAGGCGCCCCTCCCCCCACCTCCCCACCTCCGCACCCCAACTTCTTTTGGCTCTAACGTGCTGGAGGAGGAAGGCACCGTGGCCACCAGCATAGCCAGGGAAAGGGCCGTGGAGAGCCCTGAAGAACTGATGGAAGGCTCAGTGTGGGGAAGGCTCAATCCTAGTCTTGAGCATTTCTTACTCCTAGGCTTTAAAATGCCCCGTGGCCTTCCCTCTTTCCTCCCTGTCCATTCGGTTGTTGAGAACTGAAAGTGTCAACAAGATCTAGAGTTAGACTACAAGGAACATTTATTCTGTGTAGGTTTAATGTTTAGAAGCAAATTGTGGTTGTCCTGGGTGGAACACTGGGATACCTCAGCTGCTTTGAGAGCAGGAAGTTCATTTGTTCCCTGTGTAATCTTGAACAACTCGGTTTTCCCATCTGTGTAATGGGATTGGTTGATGATCTCTATCTAAGGCCCCTTACTTGCTTCTAAAGTATATGACAGATCAGGAGTCCCTCCAGAGTAGGAACCATAATCAATACCTGGCACAGGGCCTAGAACACAACAGGTGCTTAATATTTGCTGCATTACTCAATCAATGAATTCATTCCTCTGCTTGGAGATACTGATGCTCAGGTCAGGTCGCTCTGGGTCTGGGCTGGGTAGGTATGATTCTGTCCACAGATAGGGGAGTGCATTGAGGTCAGTGCTTTGCAAACCTGTCTGCCTACCTGAGAAGCTTATAATACAGATCTCCAGGCCCCACTTCACTGCATTAGAATTGCAGGGGCAGAAGCTGAGAATCTACACCAGACAGGTTCCAAAGGTGATTCTGAGGCAGGTGATTCTCCGTCTTCTGATGGAGAAGTACCTTGTGGTGCCATGGTTTTACTCTGGTTTAAGGTATTATGTTCCCGTGGGGACTTGGAAGGTCTGTCTCAAGTCTCACTTTCTCTGTGAAGCCGTCCTTATCTCCAGCCACTGCCTGTTGAAATGAAGGGAATCTTGAATGCCAGGAAGTCTTTTTTATTTTATTTTATTGATTTTTTACAGAGAGGAAGAAAGAGGAATAGAGAGTTAGAAACATCAATGAGAGAGAATCATCGATCAGCTGCTTCTTACATAACCCCTACTGGAGATGAGCCCACAACCGAGGTACATGTCCTTGACCGGAATTGAACCTGGGACCTTTCAGTCTGCAGGCTGACGCTCTATCCACTGAGACAAACCAGTTTTGGCAGGAAGCCTTGAAATGCATTAAAGCACCAAAAACAGTGGCTGAAACAGAGTATGTGTTCAATAAATGTGATTTACTAAACCACCTCATTTTATTGATGCCTGGAGATGGGAAATCATTTACCCAAGTTCCCATAGCACATAGGCGGTGGAGAGGAGACCAGAATCCAGGGTTCTAGACTCCAATCTCAAGCTCTCTTCACTTTGTTCTGCTGTCTTTGGTCGGTCATACTAGTATACACCCAAAGATGCAAACACCGGTACACATATCAGTTTGTCAGAAATTCATTGTTCATTAGCATCAGGAGGCATCTGGTGATCCTCAAAACGTGTGCCTAGCATCATGTCAACACCATGAGAAATGTCAAAGAGTTTTCTTGAAGTTATAATCCCTGCCTCAAAGTGTGAGCCAATAGAGTGAGGAGAAGGATGATGCCAGTGGCACCTAGGTGGGCTAATGGCATCTAGGATGTGGCTAGTGGCACCTAGGATGTGGCTAGTGGCAACTAGCATGGGGCAGGTTGAGCACCTGGGATGGGGCAGGTTGAGCACCTAGGATGGGGCAGGTTGAGCACATAGGGTCATGGAACTATAGAGCTGGCACCTGAGAGTGAGCACCTCTCTAGATGCTGCACCCTCTGTGCCTGACTTGCCTCACCCTAGTCCCAGCTCTGCTGTTCCTTTTCTTTTGGGGAATGAGAAGGCCACAGAGGCCCTGCAGTTCCAAGGGCTTGAGGAAGGCCTGTGCTGCACCGGACTCAGGCGTCCTGATTTCATGGGCAGTGGGGTGAGAGGTCGGGGAGCACGACCAGGCACTGAGGAGGCCTTCAGGCTATAGAATACTTTCAATGGAGGTCTGAGCCTTAGTACAAAGAGCATGAAGGTGAAAAGGAAAACAGTACTTTCCAGTCTTAACCACCAGCTTTTGAAGCGCATTTTGGTGACTTGTTCCCGGAAACCCCATGTTTTGAAAGATGTTATTCTCCAGGCTGTTTGCTCTTTCCCTCAGGCTAAAGTCCAAATTCCTTAGCGCTTCAATATCCTCAAAGTCCAGCCTCCTCCTCGTCTTTGCTATCCTCCTCCTGTTCTCTATAGTCCAGCTGGGCTAGACTTCAGTCGATTCTCCCCACACGCCATTCTCTCTCACCCCATGTTTTGTCTATGCTGTTCCTCTGCCCAGAGCACTCTGTGGTCTCTCTTTAACTGCTTCTCTCCTACTGTTTTTCAGGTCTCAACTTCGATGGTATTTCTTAAGAAAATAGTTTTGTCCAGTACCCCTTACAGTTTCTAGAACATTGGGCACTTTCTACATAATTTCTTCTTTGTCTTTCTTCTACACTGAATCATAAGGTCCACAAAACCTTAATTCCCAGCACTTTGCACAGAGGTTAATACATAGTAGATGCTCAATAAAAAAAAAAATCTATTAAGTACATAAAACACTATTTGGCATAAAGAATAAGCAGAGCTTTAGTTCAGCGCATGCTAACAAGTTTGAGCCCTTAAAACTGGTCTGATTCCAGCTGCTAACAAGACTCGAGCCATGGGAGTTGTGCTGACTGAGCTTGTTAAAGGAGGATAGATGATTTGCATTGAAGATCGGGAAAGGAAGGGTGGAAACAGATGCTGTAGGTAAATCATAAGGCAGTTTTGCTTTCGACCTGAGGAAGTGCTCTGCTACATCGACATGTGGGCACATAGTACCTCTTCACCTTCTTCTTCTTCTTCTTCTTTTTTTTTTTTTTTGAGACATATACAGAGAGCTCACTGCCTACCCAGAATCTTTGCTTGCTGGTGAATGGGGACTGCAGATGACTTAGAACGGGATTTAAAGAACAGTGCTGATAGACTAGCCCAGTGGTTAAGTCGATTGCAGTTTCATCCTCTGCACCAAAAAGTTGTGGGTTCAATCCCCTGTCAGGGTTCATACAGAAGGCAACTGACTGATGTTTCTCTCTCACATATAAATCTCTCTCTTTCTTCTTCTCTCTCCCTCCCTCTCTCTTTACACATATCCTTGGGTGAGGATTAAAAAAAGCAGTGCTGATCCTCTGTGTCTTCGAGGAAGATAGAACATGAGTTAATAAATAAAAGGCTGCAAAAACCAACAGTGGAAGCCAGCCCTGTCATTGCTGAGTAAGCACTGAACTCAGTGATGGGGTCAGCCAGCCCCACTAATGGGTCAGGATGTAGTCAGCAGCCAGGAGGCCCAGCCCCCGTCTCTTCGGTGCCAACATCAAATTGTGGCCCTGTTTGACCGTCCAAACAGGATTTCAGAACCCAGGTAGGGCCAGATGCGGGTTTTCTGAATCAGTGGCAGATCCTGTGTCAGAGCCATCCAGGAGAGAAGACTTCTGTCAGGAGGAGAGGTGGCTAGAGCCTTTGCTTTTGAAACCAGAGCCTTCCAAACTCTGATTTCGTTTCCTCATCTATGGAATGAGGAGCCGGACAAGTTGATCCCAAGAGCCAAGCTTTTGTGTAATAAGAGTAATGGCCAGCATTCACCCAACATCCTACAAGAACCAGGTGCTGCCTTAGATTTGTTCACTTCTTGAAAAGTCTGTGCAACCTCATGAAGTAGTTAACATTATTATCCCACTTTTACAGACGAGGAAAGAAATACATAGAAAAGTTGAATACATTTGCTTAAGGTCATGCAGCTGGTAGGTGGCAGAACAAACCAGGATCCTGACCCGGATGTCCTGTCTCCAGAGCCCTTGTCATTAATCTCTAGGCCTGTGCCATCAGCACAGCAGCCACTAGAGGGGTGTGGCTAATGGGCACTTGGAATGTCTACATTGAGATGTGCAATCACTAAAAAATACACCCTGGATTTTGAAGACTTAGTATGAAAAAAAGAAATGTAAATATATCTCAGTAAATCTTTATATCATTACATGTTAAAATGTTAACATTTTATATATTGGGCTAAGGGAAATATTTTTTCTTGAAATTAATTTACTTGTTTCCTTCAAATTTTAAAAGTGACTACTAGAAAATTTAAAATTAAATATGCAACTGATCTTACATTTCCACTGGACAGTGCTGGTTTAAGCTATATAGGGTGTCCCAAAAAAGTAGGTACCCACTTGTAATAACTATAGACAGTGTTTATTAAAATACATTTTGTTTTCAAAATTGACCTATGAGCTGTTAAGGTATGTGTACACTTTCTGGGATACCCTATTCATAAAAGATTGGTGTGGGATTATACCTCTGTGAAGTCCAGGTTTATCTCCTGTCTGCGGTCCCCCAAGCCCACCTTCAGGTTCAGTGACCCTAGGAGGACTCACAGAACTCAGCATGTGATCACAGCGAAAGGATACAAAGCAAAATCAGCAAAGGGAAAAGACGCAGGGGACAAAGTCTGGAGGGAACCAGGCACAAGCTTCCAAGAGTCCTCTCCCAGCTGAGTTACACAAGATGAGCTTAATTCCTCTTACAACAAACCGTGACAATAAGTGTTGCCCCAGAAAAGCTCATTGGAGACTCAATACCCAGGG